AGGGATACGAGACGATTTGTGGTCCTAAAGGAGTTCAATTATCTGGCGGACAAAAACAAAGAATCGGTAAAATAATCTCTTGAAAATTAATTAAAATAATACTCGATTTATTTTTGTTTAGCTATTGCGCGTGCATTAATTCGAAATCCAAAGATTCTATTACTAGATGAAGGTAAGAAAAAAATCACTAAAATTCACATTCTTGTAGAGAAGAGTGTTACAAACATAAGTTGTGTACTCGATTTCTTGTGTGTCCGTATTTCAGTGATTAGTCAAAAAATAAAGTAAAATTAAACACATTTTCTTAATAAAAAATTCGACCAAAGGGTAATCAGAGTTGAGAATTATGAAACTCATGTTAATCATATAAAATTGTATATACGTATGACGATGTCAATAGTGTCGTAGAGTATGGTTTCCAAGAGAAAGAGTTGAACAAATCGTTCCACAAATGTTATCTGTTTTATTTATGTTTGTTATCTAGCAACAAGTGCTTTGGATAGTGAAAGTGAAAAATTAGTTCAAGAAGCATTAGATAATGCTCTACAAAATCGAACATCGATTACAATTGCACATCGTTTATCGTCAATTAAAAATTCAGATTTAATCTATGTTATACATAATGGAACCGTTATCGAACAAGGCACACATGAAGAATTACTTGCACTTTGTGGCCGTTACTTTCTGCTAGCACAAGGAAAACTTCAATAAAATTATTTATAAATCTCAGATTTCCTCTATTGAAAGGAGGATATACACAGAATTTGAGCTAAAGTTCGTTCGTTTGTGCGTACTATTTTGCAATCATGATTCATGAAACAATAATCTATGCTGTACTCTTGTCGATGTCGAGTTTGGGTTGACCGAAGGGTGATCGGAGTCGAGAATCTCGAATCCAAGGTTAATTTTTTCTTAGTTACCAGCCTTCGACTTGTTTCTTTGTTTTTCCAGTAGATGTATATTTCTGTATCGTCCTAAAATCCTTTGTCAAGATAGCGATCTGAATGCTATTCCTAGATGTGATGAGAGTCAAGATATTAGTTTAAGCCTGTACACAAAAAGATGTAATACAGCTTACATCAAGATATTTCTTGCTCAAAAAAATCATAAAAGGCGATATAAGCTTAATATAACCCCGGTTGCAAAAGGCTTGGCAGA